TGATTGCTATTGTACTCATCTTTCAGGTGAGACACGAAATTGAAGCCATGAGTACAGAAAAACATAGCATATTTCATAAGAGGAGAGGGATGTTATACTGTTCTTCTGGCCATCTTCCAGCATGGGTAATTACATTTCTACCTAGCTAAAATTCCCTCTGCTCTACAGTTTTAATTGGACGGTAGTTTGTTTTGCACTTGTCTGAAATCCCAGATTGGGGTCAGCCCCCCACTGGTTAATTCAGCAGCCCTATTTTCAGTAGAGCTACACGGGCATTTCAGAAAAAATACCTAGTTTTGTTTTCAGACTTAGGGTGCATCACACCAAACAGCCTGATCTGACAGAGCCCAAAGCAAAGAAATTCTCCTCTGCCTTTAAGGCCCTAATATCAAGGATCCCTGTGTGGAAATGCTACCCTGAACGGCTTGCCGAAGGTCAGCATCCTCTCAGCTCCATTTTGCAGTTGCAAAGGGAGTCCTAAGGCAAAATTTCCACCACAAGGAATCACATTCAGGTGGTGACACCTAGGAAGGTAGTCTGATTGCCCCAATGAGAAGCATCCAGCAGCACCTATCCACTTACGTGTTTTAGCTGGTGTGTATGGCTGACATTTTGGAAAGTATTTAACAGGATCTGCACCTTCGGATCTCTTATATTCAATAGTTTCATTCGTTGCACCTTTAACACAGTAAGCTTCTTTAAAAAGTATTTTTGGCCCAAAACCTTTAACTGGCTCCATTTGAGATAACCAAGGTATAAAAGTCCACCTGTATGACAGAGGCACCCTTTCAGTAAAGTTCTTAACTGTATGCTTACCTCCATAGGTAAGCATAAGTACAGTACTTAACTGTATGCTTACCTCCAGTGGGACTTTCACTAGGCTTAAAGTGAAACATGGTTTAATGGCTTTGTAGAATTAGGCCCAGACTCAGCCATTTAGCAAGAAAAAGACGTGTAACAATTTGTAGAGATCAGTAGCCTACTGAGTCAGAGGAAACTTAAAGGGGTGACAGGAAAAGACAATTCATATATTTTGCAAGGAAACATCTTCACAAAACTTTTCCTATGAATATTATTCTAGAGAGAAACAACTTTCCCTGAGGCCATGCAGTAATATTTGGTCTCCTGAAAAGCTTTTGCTTAATTTGTGTATACACTCCATTTGGAAGGTCTTAACTAATGGGAAACAGTCCCAACAACCAGGCAAAATATTTGTTTTCCTTCGCCTTTAAATTAAATATCAATGGATGGATATTTTATTTTTAGTTGAATATGAAATTTCACAAGCGACCTGTCAAGCTCCCGTTTTCAAGAATGACTTTATTTCACACATCAAGACAGGCTGGGAAATTAGTTTTTCCCACAGAGGACTCTGATTAGGGATTACAAAGTGAATGTGGCGCAGAGTGATTTTTCCTCCATCTTTTCCCTCGCCCTGCCAGCCTAGAGAACACGTGACGCTGCTGACTAAGGGGAGCAATTCATTACCGCACATGGGAGTGGGACGGGAAGCGAGATAGTTGTGTTAAGTAGACTTGCTGGCCCAAGAGAGAATAGGGAAAGCGTAATAATACTTAGCCCTTATATTATTCTTTTCATCAGTAGATATCAAAGCACTTGAAAAAGGAAGTTGATTTGATGGGAAAGGAGATAAATGCCAATTCCAAATAACCTATTGCAAGGGCACCTGCAGGAATGCTCACTTTCGTGATACTCTTTTTTAACTGTAGATCTGCAGGGTAAAGAAATAAATAGGTCCTTCCTTCAATAAAATGCAGAATTAACACAGAAATCTCAAAGTACATTTTAAAACATTATTGACTTACCCACTGTGACTCTCTTGGGGGCTGGCAAAATATAAGGTCCAGTCTAACAACCAGCGAGAGCAAAAGGGAGATTATGTATTACTAGTAAATGACTGAGCAGACAAGACCTGTTGCCTTTGTCAGCAGACAGCGGCTGATTTACACCATGGTTTAACTGCTTACAGAAACAATAAATAGTTCCGATGAACGGCTCTGCAGTTTTCTCCCCATAGAAAATCTGGCCCACTCTGGGCTATTTCTAATGCTATCCAGTGGATTAGTAGCAGTCACTGGAGTAGAAAGTAGTCTTGTTCTGCTGCAGGTAAACAGCACTGTTTGGCTCCTCTGCTAAAAATCCTGAACTGGGTGATCTGATAGAGTTTACTGCCTGATTTACTTTGGGCCACATAAGAAGGATACACATGAGGAACTACATACAGAAAGTGTCAATCCCAAGGTCAGTCTTCATATTCAAGTGCAATGCAGCATCTCTACTGGATACATACCTCTAAGTGCTTACTTGCACATGTCATTGCAGAGAACTCTTAAAAACACATCATTTTTCTTCTTTTTCTTTGTAGTGTGGCCTCTAACTTTCTTCTATTTGCTAATGGCCTTTCTGCCCTGTGTATATGACAGTGATGTTCAAAGAGGTCTGAAGTCCTGCTGCGACAGGCAACCCAGCAGAAACATCTCATGAGAAGCAGTCCTCGATCCCATCAGGTCAAATGGCTGCTGTGCAGTCACTGTGACTCACATCAGGAGGGAAGAACACTCCAGGGGCAAGAACTTCATGTGGCAGTTACCCGTGTTTTCATGATGCCATCTATAGTAATATCTTGATTTTCAACAGTGTGAGAAAACAGCAATTTCCTGAGGCAGTTCTCTAAGACTTCTAAGGCAAATAGAGACAGAAAGAAAAGGGAAGGGAAGAAAACACTAACTTGTATACACTTTTCAGTCCTGCTAACTAGAGCAGGTCACTTCTTCAAAACCCATTTGCAGAGATGAATACCCACTCAGTCTATTCAGTTTCAAAATCCTCCATGCCGCATTGTGCCCACCATAATGCAGCCTCTGCTCTGCAACAACAGCAGCTCTGAGCAGCTGAATCTGCTGGGGACCAGTGCCTCCCTCCAATACAGCTGCAAATAGGTTTAAATCATTAGATTCAGGTTACCAAACAGTCTCTTGGATCAGGGTTAATTAAATGAGTGCTGAAATCTAATTAAAGACTGGTCCAGGTGATAATTAGCAGGAAATGTATGCATTAAAATATTCATTTGTCGATGAGCTGCAATTAAGAGTGTGATTTGGGGAAGGATCAATAACTACATCATGTGATTTAAAAAAAAATTACAAGTTGGCCAGCCTTTAGATGAAATGCAGGAAAATTTTAGCTAAGCATTTGGGTTTTTTTTTTCTCTTCCCCTCACCCTCTTTCTGTTTTTCTCCTATAATACCTTCTGTGGACTGTTTTCCACCACTGAATAGAGCATTCATCTCTCCATCCCTTTGTTTTCCTGAAGCACTTCTTTCAGCCGCTTGCTCTTCACCAGATTTTTTGAGTGGGTTATAGATTTATTACAGAGAGACAAACAGGTCAAAAAGATTCTTTGCCAATGAAAATCACTTCCTACCGGAACAGCCTGCTAATCCAGTGGAACATTGCTCATTGTATAGCCTTAGATTGTTTTGGGGTGGGTTTTTTAAGCAAGTTAATTCCTTAAGTCTTTATTCATAACTGAGGATCTGGAGAGGCTATTGAATATGCATAGCTTGGACTTATATATATGTACAACCATAGCTGTGGTTTACTGTGCTATTCCCAATTTGTAGGAGAGCAGCTTTGCTTTCACTGAGACGTTTTTCTGGTTACAGATACATCGGGGTGTATGTGAGCCAGTTAATAACACTTCTCCTGTGCAATCTCACCTCCATTAGAAAAACAAGGGCCCCACAACAGACCAGCTCCTCTAGCATGGACCTGGTCTTCCTTTACCACCACAGCCGGAGGCTGAGCTGGCAATTTCCCCACTGACTGTATTTCCATCACCGTGTCAAAAGGGATGCGCACCATGGGAGCACAGTAATTTCGGCTGCTCTTTGTCAGTCTCTTGACAGCTCACCTGCCCATCTCCCCAGGGTCGGTGGCAGCCCAGCTCCAAAGGCAACTGTCTGACTGCTGTCGGGGCTGCTGCCGCATCCCCCCGCCCTTGCACCCCACTTCCCCAGGGAGAATGCACTATGGGGAATCAGCCAACCCATGAAGCTGGTGCCTTCCTTCCTAAGCAGATCTGTTTCTTCCCATTTCAGCCTCCTCTGAGAAATTCTGGAGTTGCACTTATTGACCTTTCATCTCATTTGGGGGAAAACAGAGATTTCTTTCATTCCCAAAAGGTCTATATTTTTCACAGACTTCTGAAGTCTGATGATCATCTGTAGTTCTCCACCTCTGTTGACTGCAGACATAACCCAAACATTGTAAAGCTCTCCTGGAAACATTTAGCATTAAATGTGGGCTCTTTTGTGGTAGCCTCTATTTCTTACTGTTTATGGAAAAGAAACTCAGGTCCACCAGGTACTATTTTTCCTCTTCTAGTTTAACAGTGCTGAAGAAATGCTGCTTCCTGATGAGACGTACACTCTGTTCAGGGTACTGAATCTTGTCTCCAAGGGGTACAGATTTCTCATTGGACATCAGGGTTTCAAGACACACCAATATGAAGGGGTGATCCAGCTCAAGGGGTCTGGCATGGATTGAGCTAACATATTGCATCAAAACAGATCAGTTCTCAAATCCTAACATTTATTCAGCAAAAGCTCCTACATTTTTCTGCACTGAGTCCAGATTCTCTAGTAAAGACAGCGTGCTGGTCCAAAAGGTTGTCTACAGAGTGAATGAATAAGGAAACAACTTCTGCAGAGACAATATTAATGACAACCTGAAAACTCAAATTTTGGAGGAAACTAGGAGCCAGGCTTCTGGCCTCAGTTATTTACACTCCAGGGTCTTTTGCTTCCTTCCTGATGCTCTCACCCTATTGCAAAGGTCAAATACAAAAGTCCTGAGAGGTTGCATGGAAAAGCTAAGCCTCAGCTGGATCCCATGCTACTAAATCTGTGTCAGACATAAGCATGGGTGTGTACCAAGCTAATTCCCTTGCGTGTCTCTTTTTTTTTCATGTCCTGCAGGGAGCCTCTTCAAGCCTGGTGGTGAAGTTTGCAGATACGGACAAGGAGCGTACAATGAGACGCATGCAGCAAATGGCAGGACAAATGGGCATGTTCAACCCCATGGCCATCCAGTTTGGAGCATATGGCGCCTATGCACAGGCAGTAAGTATAGACATTGGCTCTGTGCATGTTCATGGGAACGGTGGGATGCTGACACAGTTTGCCTGAGGAAGTTATGCCCCACCCCTGGCATTGTCCAAGGCCAGGTTGGGCTAGACTTGGAGCAACCTGGTTCAGTGGAAGGTGTCCCTGTCCATGAATGATCTTAAGGTCCTTTCCAACCAAAACAATGCTATGATTCTATGAATAGCACCTAGAACTGCACAAAAACACAGGAGAAGAGGAACAGCTGAGCAGAGGAGACAAAGATTTCTATGATTCTATGATTCTGTGATTCTATGATTCTGTGATTCTATGAATAGCACCTAGAACTGCACAAAAGCACAGGAGCAGAGGAACAACTGAGCAGAGGAGACAGATTTCTCCTTTAAATTGGTTACATGATGGGAGAAAACTGCCATCATGCCATCAAGGCTAGATAAGGGCATCTTGAAGACAAGTCTCAGAGGTGCAATAGGTAATTCTAGCAGTAACCACCCTGTGATCATGTGAAAACCTATGCAAGTTGCTTCCTATGGGGCATAAGCCATTGCTGTCAAATCCAAACACAACTAGCCTTTGAAGATTGGGATAAAATAGGACTGGATTCAGCTTGTCTTAGTTCTTTGCCCTATGTCAGAACTGTCTGAAGACGAAAGTAGCGGTGATCTCTGCATCCGGCAGACACAGCACTGCCAGGTGACTTTGGCTGCCTTCTCTGGAGCAGATTTGCAGGCAGTGACAGTGAGTCATGTGTCCCTCTTGTACTCTGCTAGATTTGTGTGCAGGAGGGAAATGCCATTAATCCCATTTTCCAGAGTGACACCTTCCTGAATGACAGAGACCACATGCCTTGCCTTAGGGCCAGCCCAGGAATCACACTCCAGTGTACCTGTGCTCCCTTCCAGTGCACTGACTGCAAGGCTCTGCTTTCCTGCCTACATATTTCTTTCTGTTGTGTTGGCAGCATAGATTTCCCGTCACATCCACATGATCTGGTTTTAACTTGAGGGCCTTGGCTGAGTGTCCTGTGCCTCACTGAACACTTTGTACAACCCAACCCTTGAATGTGCTATGTAGAGTCCTGAGGACACGCCATAGATCTCCACAGAAGTTCCCGTTCTTCTCCCACCTGCACCTCCTGGTGCTATTCTGCACTTTATTCTCTCCCTACTAGACAAATTCTGTTTTTCCTTTCATTTTGCCTTCTTTATTTTTGTTCACAAGGACTTTACCTCTTCCTTTGTCCTCTGCTCCCCTCCTCACATGATAGAAGAGCTGTCCCTCTCCAGCCTGGCTGTTCTAATGGTCCTCCCAGCCAGAGAAAGCTGCAGGAAGAGGATAAGAGAGAGTAAATCACAGCTGAGCCCAGGTCAGTGGCCAGCAGCCTGGCAGAGGGATGCAGCATCTGTGCCCCCATGTTACAAAGGAACTAGCAGGGTTCAAACCACAGGCAGCTCAGGACAAATATCTACAGTTTGTCAGGCAGGAGATGTGGCTCCAGTGTTACACTACAGGCACTGATCAGGAGAGTGGTAAAAGCACCACTGTCCTGATGTTCTGGTCCAAAACCTTTTTGCATTATTTTTAATCAAGAGTAATTCTTCTAATTGCCAACCTAGTGTAATACCGATATAAAAGAGGATGCAGCCTGCACCTTTACACCCTCCATCTATTTCTCACCAGGTAGCACAGGACATTATGAGGGTAGGTGCTTGAGTGAGGATTTATTGCTGAAGGAAGAGTGAAAGCAGTTCCTGGGTCTGCTTTCACTCCACTGGAAACTAATGAATATTTTTTCTACTCATTTCTGTGAAAGCAGAATGGGACCCACCCTCCTTTTTTTTGTCTTCTGGTAAATATGCTAATAAGGAAGAAAGAATAAGTTTTAGATCTTGACCCATTGGATATGACAAGCTGGTGACATCAATTACCCTGGGGACTTCAGAGCTGTCTAAATGATGGGATCACATTTCCGTGTGGTGCCTGTACACCCAGAGCATGCTCGGATGCTGTCTCTCAATCAGCCTCTCTATCTGCTTCATCTCACAGTCTCACACAAAAGAGAAGGAAGGCAGTGCCGTGGTCTGTGACGTTCCCTCGGTCCCGATTAATCCACCCTGGACTGCTGGCTCTTAGATATCAGGGTGATTGGCACCTCACAAATGCCAGCAGGAGATGGAGGGATCGATAGGGGAACGGAGAGGGGGGGGGGGCAGTTTTATTCAGCCTGAACTGAAGTTGAAGAGCTAAGGCAAGTCAAGAGGAGGGAAGGTGAAACATCAAGAGCAGGGCAGTGATGACAGCTGATGTCACTGCCACCAGCAACTTGTGTGACCTTGGGTGAATTGTTTGACCCCATGGTTTCATTTCCTCATGTTCAAATAAAGCTGGTGATCAGATTTATTTATTTCCCCTTCTCCCTCAGGGACACAGCTCTCTCTTGTGCTGTCCCTCCCTGTCGTATGGCAGTGACACAAGTTTAGGAACTGCCTCAGTGCTTAGTAGTAAGGCCAAGACTAGCATGAGGCACTGATTTGTACTCATAACCTGTCCTCCCAGGTATCCCGCTGCAGCCTAAGCTTGACTGATGTCTCCGTGTAAGAGATCTCAAGCAATCCCATGAGAGTTTCTAATGGTCCATCCCCATGGAGAAGGCTGCCAAGTCCCATAGGCAGCATTTTCTTGTTGACTCTCCCCCAGAGAGGCATAGCGCACATCACCAGCACTGGATTAGCTCCTGGAAAAAGGTCTTCATGCATCAACTAGTGCAGCAGAAACCCACATAGTGGAGCTGTTTGAGAGACTGGTGGGCAGCCATGGATTTGCAAACCAACAGCCGCACTGAGGGGTGGCAAGGGTCTCCATCCATCAGTGTTTGACTGATAGTTGTTAGTGTTGCCACCAGGCCTGCTTTGGGCCCCAGCTTCTCTTTAAGTTACCTCCTTTGCAGCTCAGCAAATGGCCGTGTCACAGTTCATTCCCTGCTGCTGCTCGCTGCCAAGCCACTCAACCTCAGCTTGAGCAACTTTAACCTTGAGAGCAGCAGCGGCATCACATCAGCTAAGCAAAGAGTCCTTAGGTTCAGCGGCCATATGGCCTCAGATCCAGAGGTAAAACGAAAGTCGGGAAGCAAAGGGAGCTCTCCTCAGTGTGTGGTTTTGCCTCCCCTCCTCATGTGCCACCTGCAAGCACACCAGACAGAGCTTGGCACCAACTCCATGTGCTGTTTCGGTGACACAGAAAGTCACATCAGACCCACCTCACCTATTTTGTATGCAGCTTAAGGCAAGTCAGGTTTCATGGCTCCCTAAAGCTCCCAGAGCCCCTATACTAATTTGTTTCAGGGTTTTTGGATGGGTTTAGTGGTTTTTTTCTCTTTTCAGCACTATTTTCCCATACTCATTTAACTTCCCCTTTTAGTGGGCTATTATTTATTTTGGTTCACACATATACAGGTCACCAACCCTTTTTGTTGTCAGGTTGCTGTGGATGTACTTCAGCTGGGTATTGATAGCTGTTTCTGCAGTCTCAGTTACAGCCAGCTTGAGGTATAGATCTGAACACAGCCTGGATAGAAGGAGACTGATGTTAAGTGGTACTACCCTTGATTTGCTGCCAGTAGAGGATGAACCTGGAGCCACACACTCCAGCTCAAAGTAGCACATCTTCTTAGACCCTGGTAAGTGGGGTGGCCAGGGCCAAAATCACAGGCCATAAAAATCAATCCAGATTATGAATAGTGATAGTATAGTCCTGGCTCAAATAAGCAACAGTGGCAAAACTTCTTGCAGGTCTTCTTTCTATGAAGAAAGTGTCAAGTAGTTAGCTGCTGCCTCATGCCACTGCTGCCCCACCATGCAGAAAAGAAAATGTGCACAGATCAAAAAGGGTTGGGAAGATAGGAAAGTGCAGAAGAGCAAAGCAAGAACAAAGGAAGGAGCCTTGGAAAGTGACAGATACTGTATAAATTATTTAATTTTTAAATTATTTAAAATAAGATCAAAGTCATAAATCAAGTTTGCATAAAAAATGGGGTGGGAGTGTTATCCATGGTCTTCTGGCCACATTCCAGCTGTGGACTGATTGCATCCCGCAGCAGGGGACAGGCATAGAGGTAGTGAGTAAAAACGGACAGATGGGTACATAGGCAGTGGTAACATTTGCTCTCTGGCCTGGAGCAAGTCCTTTCCCATCAGTAAATCCCCTCACTGAAAAAGTACAAACGGCTGCAGTTTGTGAACTGTAGACAATAACTGCAACAAATACGGGAACATCCAGCACAAGAAAGCTCTCACTCATCATCCTAAGTGGTCGCCTTGGGAAGCTAGGGCAGAAGCAACCACCATGCTGACCATAAAGCCCCAGTGCCCCCCTCTGCCTCCCTGTCCCAGCTCCTGTGGAGATGAAAGGATATTTCTGCTAAAGCTGAAGGGAAGAATCGCTTCTTCCAATATTTTTTCAATTCATACTGTGAAATTATTTTGGAAAGATACTTAAAAATATCCAGCTAGCCCTATGAAATCAGGGAAAATTTACTCAATATGTCTTCTGCATATAATAGCTATTATATTTAAATGACCAAAATGGGACAGTATACTACTGGTTATGCAAATCACTTGTTCTGATCCGTTCCAGAAGAGGAAGTTATTTTGAAGCCATAATACTTTGCAGCAGGGCTGATACCATATTTCTGATTGTCAGCTCCCTCGTAATTCAGAAATAATGAACACTCAGATTTAGGTTTTTTATACCTTTTATTTTTTTCATAGCTTTTTATATTTTTCCAGAGTTCTCAGGGACTTAGAAATCCAAACTATTGTGTATCAGGCTTCAGAAAGACACTAAGACACATGAATCCATGTGTTCCTCATTTGTTTAGCTTTTTTAAAAAGTATTAACTTTAAACATTATTTTTAATGCAGAAAATTCTGTTTCCCAAAGACATTAAAAAAAAATCTGAAAAACCATTACAACTTTTTTACAGAATATCTTCTGTTTGC